GGGCCTGCTAGCTCCAGCTCTGAGGGCTGAAAGCAGGTTTCTGAGGTTTATTTACCTTCTATAATTGCAACATTGTTTCTTAGACTGCAGCTCAGAGGCCGGCAGCGGCAGGCAGGGAATGTTGGCTTCCTCAGTCACTGGAGCAAGCAAGCCTCCTGTTCACTTCAGCTGCCTGGCTGCTGGCCACCATCTTGGCTGGCAGTTAATTTGCATATCTCACTGATTAGCCTATGGGAAGGGTAGCGAAGTTACGGTTAATTACCATGTTTCTCTATTATTAGATAGGATAATATTTGCATATAACCTATATTTGTATATAGGCTACAGCAGGCTATGCTTATACATCATGCCATTCACATGGACTCAGCATAGTTCTTGGTGCATGGTCACTTCAAGTTTGCAACTTTCTGGTATATATTTTTTCTGAATATTTTTTTATCTGTGTTTGGTTGAATCCTTGGATGCTAAACCCAACCCACAGATACAGAGGGCTGACTGTAATTACCTCATGTCTCTCCTTGGGAATGTACACCTTTTTAGAGTTATTAAACCTTCTAGCTCAGTATTAGTGAATTTACTTTTTTAAGAAGAATGGGTCAGGGTGAGACAACTCTAGCCAGTGGCCTTTTTATTATTTTTAAATTGTGGTAAAATAAACATAACATGAAATTTTCCATCATACGGTAACCACTTTTTAAGTAGACAGTTCAGTGGGGTTAAGTACATTCACATTGTTGTACAACCATCACCAATATCCATCTCCAGAATTCTTTTCATGTTGCAAAACTGAAATTCTGTGTCCATTAAACAATAACTCCCCAGTTACCCTTCCCCTCAAGTCTCTGGCAATAACCATTCTACTTTATGTACCTATGAATTTGACTACTTAAGTACCATATATAAGTGGAATCATACAGTATTTTGTGACTGGCTTATTTTACTTACCATGATGTCCTCAAGCTTTGTCTAAGTTATAGCATGTAGCAGAATGTCTTTCCTTTTTAAGGCTAAATGTATGTATATACCACATTTGTTTGTCCATTCATCCATCTCATGTTGCTTTAACCTTTTGTGAATAGTGTTTCTGTGAGCATGGGTGTACTAATGGCTTTTTAAAAAAACCCTGAATGCTATGTCAAACTTTTATTGGGTATAATAGCATTCTTGAGTATGATCTGGGATAAATTTAAGTATTTTCCTATTAATGATAGATTTTTAGCCAGACAGATTTTAAATATCTTAATATTACATAAAATAGATTTAAATATCTTTATAGATGTTAAACCTAATAGTTACAATATTTAATAGATATTTAAATATATTTCTTATATCTTTTGTTATTTAAAAATCTAATTACTTAGCATAATACCCTCTAGGTCCATCCATGTTATCACAAATGGTAAGATTCCATTCTTTTTATGGCCAAGTAATATTCCATTGTATATATATACCACATCTTCTCTATCCAGTTGTCTATTGATGGACACTTGGGTTTCTTTCATAGCTTGGCTATTGTAAATAGTGCTGCAGTGAACATAGGGATTCATATGTCTTTTCAAATTAGTGGTATGGATTTCTTCAGATAACTACCCAGAAGTGGGATTGCTGGGTCATATGGAAGTTTTATTTTTAATTTTTTGAGGAACATTCATACTGTGAAATAAGTCAGTCAGAGAAAAACAAAGACCATATAATTTTACTTATATGTGGAATCTAAAATACAAAATAAACAAATAAACTAGACTTATCAGGGGATAAATAACTATGCTATACACCTGAAACTAATATAGTATTGAATGTCACTGTAATTGAAAAATAAATTGTTATTTTAAAGAAACCTAAGTTTTAGCTGAATCTCTGCCCACATCCATAGGTATGTCATTAGGATAAACTTCTCAAAGTGAAATTTCTGGAAGCTATGGCCATAGAGGTATAGGCATGAATTTTTTGACAGAGATAGAGATTTTTAAGTGGAAAAAGAATATGTTAAAGAGTTAAGATGATTGTAATAAGATCATAGGATTAGAGAGATATCTTTTTGTTTTGTTTTAAAGCTTCTTTCAGTTTTTTTAAAAATAATTAAATCTTTATTGTTCAGATTATTACAGTTGTTTCTCTTTTTTCCCCCCATAGCTCCCCTCAACCCGGTTCCCACCCTGCCCTCTGCCCTCCCTCACCCCCTGTCCTCATCCATAGGTGCACGATTTTTGTCCAGTCTCTTCTCGCATCTCCCACACCCTTTTGCCCCCTAAGAATAGTTAGTCCACTTTCTTCCTATGCCCCTGATTCTATTATAATCACCAGTTTATTCTGTTCATCAGATTATTTATTCACTTGATTCTTAGATTCACTTGTTGATAGATGCATATTTGT